AAAAGACAGACACACAAAGGTGATATGTAAAATGTTCACGTTCAGACTGGATCACTGATGATTACCTCCACCAATTTTATAAAGATAAACCATATCATTATATGTCCAATTTCACCATTCGGGACTGTGCCTGAAAATGTATGAAAACAGAAAAAACAGTTGTTAAAGGATAGTTTGAGTTTTTAAAGTCTGTCTTAAAACAATATTCACGTGCACATATAAACATTGAAAGAGATGTAGGTGACAAAATTTGCATTGTTTCTTTTGTACAAAGATGTAGTCAGACCTTTACCTAAAGATAATGTGAGGCTCCAGCCATATGAGTTGGATTACATTTGTTTATTTAGAACTAAATTTCTCTAATTTAGTATTTTCCAACAGATGGAGCAGTGGTTAGCACTGTCACCTCACAGCAAGAAGGTTCTGGGTTCGAGCCCTGGCTGACCCGGAGCCTTTCTGTGCTGAGTTTGCATGTTCTCCCTGCGTGGGTTCTCTCCCGTCCGAAGTCATGCAGCTTATGTTGACTGGTGACTCGAAATTGCCCTAAGGAGTGAGTGTGTGTGGTTGTCTGTCTACATGTCAGCCCTGTGATAGACTGTAGACCTGTCCGTTTCCCCTCCACGAACCTCTTCTTGGTAAGCAGTACAGATAATGGATGGAGATGAAAATTGACAGAAATAACATATCCACTTGATTGGTCTAACTCAGACTGCTTTATAAGTTCAGCTGAACTTAAGAATGCACTTTTGCATGCAATGAGGACTGTGCCTTACATTAAAATTATGTTAGGAAGGGATCACTTCACAGCCAGTACGGACAGGAAAACACTTTTGGTGTATATATGGACCTCACCCCATCTCTCTTCCTTCACTTCTTCTCATTACCTCCCTTGCTCTGGCCCCCTCCAGCTTCTCACTCCCCCTACCCCCACCCCACCCCACCTTGATGTGTAAAGCTCTTTGTATCTAAACAAACCTTTATGTGAGTTTACTCTAGCGCAATCAAACACAACAGAGGGGCTCTGGTTGGAACTTGCAAAAAGGCCCTGTGGCCTTTGTTTATGCAGAAATGTTGGCGGCGAGCAAGTGAACTTGGAGATGGCTTCGGTTCTTCTTTTCCTCAGTCTCTCTCTCGCTCTCTTCCCCTGCAGCCTGAAAATTAAATGCATCAGTCATATTAATGATGTCCTTTAAACCATGAAATGTGCCTGAAAAGCCCAGAGTTCAGAGGGAGCTCCATGACTTCTGTGGCGCTAATACACGAGTGCATTTACACATATACTGGAAGTTTATGTATGTATTGGTACAAGACATCAAAGTTTGATTGGATTCTCATTCATGCAGCATTCAGAGTATTTATGAAATATACTCTATAGTGATAGCCTCACAGCTGGGCACTTGACTGACTGGTAAGCAGCTCTGCAGTTCCCAGATTTGCTCTCAGACATAAATATAATTAGGCATTTCCCACACTTTGGTCCATGGGTTATTTATTTGGAGATAACTGGAATTCTGGAAATGAACCTGTGAGTGCATGTCCATTCAGGATGAGGGGGGAGCATGGGACACCACAGCACATTCAAAGCATGAAGAGTTGTGTAAGAGTTGAGTAACTGTGTGGTTGAAATGGTGGCACAGAGGCAGACGCAGTGAATGAAAAGATGAAGTAGAATCAGCAGTGTTTGGCAGAAGCTCTAACAGTATACTCTCAGCAGCACAGCTGTGTTGTCTGTGGTGCTACAGCAGCATCTGTTCATCTCTGAACTGTGCACAAACACTCTCTTTCCATCCTCTGTTTTATGACCTCAGTCCCTTTTAAATGAACTCAGTCCAGAGCGCTATAACTGGAGGAGTGCCAGTGCTGACACCTGTTTTGTTCTTGGTTTTTTGTACGTCCCCTTGGAGCTTATTTCCTTATTCCTTAAATTCACATAGGAGCTGCTATATTTTGACAAACCTGGTGTATTTTTGTAGATGGCTCTCTAGCAAACAGAATATCTGTATTGCTGATTTTCTGAGTACTGGGTGGTGAGCAGTGGGGGAGATGGAAGAGGAGGCTCACAGTTTAACATATTTTCCTCCTCTCATGCCCTCCTCCTCCTCCTCATTATCTATCAAGGATAAGTTAATATTAAACTATCCCCCCCCCTCTCTCCACGCAGTTAACAAAGCTGTTAAAAGGGTTGTCCACTCTGCAGGTGCAAGTGAGGATGGAGGAGAAAAGAACAATCAGTTTATGTAAATGGGATGTACCTAAAGCTAGTATCAGTTCCTCAGTAACTTTGATTTCAGTAAGAGGAACACAGCAAACTACACTCACTGGTCACTTTATTAGGTACACTGGTACAACTGTATGCAATTCAGTGCAACACTTCCACCTTAACATTTGTGTTTATGAAGCTTAAAATGTTTCAGTTTTTGGTGAAATTGTCATAAATATATAATTTCAATTATATGTTTATTATTGAGGTCATAGTTAAAGGTGGTGTTGTACTGGGCTACATTATATTCAGAGGCAGTCCTTATATTTTAACCCTCTCATGTCTGTAGCTGGGGAGGACAAAACTATAGAGACACCACTAAATATAATGTAGTCCAACTTTCCTTAAGAGATATCCAATATTATCATTGCTGAGTGATAAAGTCCCAGGGCTGGTTGGCTTTTTCATCAGAAATGTTTAAAAACCTTGCGTAAATCAACCCCCCTTTTTTTTGTCTGTGTTGCTAAGCGAATACTCTTTTCCTCTTACTCACTTACCTCTTTGATACTTTGAAACAGGCATCTACTTTACTGTTACTCAAAAAAGCAAAAGACACACTTTTTGTAAGATATTAGCCACTCATCTCAAAGAAGTCCTACCCAGCAGCATTTCTGAGGAGCAGAGAGGCTTTATGAAAGTAAGACGGGGTATTAAAACCACACTGAAGAAAATTAAAATCTGTGATTTCGAGATTTTTTATTTTTTTTTACAAGAATATAGTTATAATTTTATGGGAAAAACATGATAATATTATGAGATTAAAGTTGTATTTTCATGAGAAAAAAAAGCTGTAATACAGTAAAACTTTGGATTGCGAATATAATTCGTTCCAGCAACGTGCTTGTAATCCAAAGCACTCGTATATCAAATCGAATTTCCCCATAAGAAATAATGGAAGCTCAGATGATTCCTTCCACAACCACTTATTTTTCCTTTTTAACTTCCACCATAATCATCTCCTTTTTCTTACCGCCTTTCTTTTCAACCTTTAGTTTGTCTTCATTGGGGCCATTATTGCAGTACAGATGTTGACTATAGGAGTGAGGCGTAAGAACCATCGGGTCAGTTGTGACTTGACGCTCGGCAGACAAAGTGTACATACTACTTGTATTGCAAGACCTCGCTCGTTTATCAAGTTAAAATTTATTTTAAAAAATTTGCAAAACACTCGCAGACCAGGTTACTTGCAATCCAAGGTTTGACTGTATTACAAGATTAAAGTCTTAATTTTATTAGATAAACAGATGACCATCACGTAGCCTATTTAGGCTACAGGACGCTACCACCTCTGTTAAAATGAGGAAAGTGGAGCATCTCATTAAGTGATAGGCCAACTTTAAAATAGGTTTCACAAATAAGGAAATACTTAATCTTCTGGTTCATCAGCACCGGATCAACAAAACCATCAGGACGATGAAAAGAATGTGCAAGAGACTTTGTCTGTCCTGAAGAAAGAACCATGCGGACATGATGCTGATGTTAGCATCCAATTCACAGCCCCTGATTCACCAGTTAAGGGGAAAGTTAAGAGAAATTTTAAGTTAGAATAGAAATGGATATTTTCAGTTTTTTCACCAAAATCTTTAATCACTTTAATCTTTAACTTTAAATTCATAATATTGTGGCTTTTTCTCATAAAATGACAACTTTAATCTTGTAATATTATGTCATACTTCTTGTAAAATTATGGCTTTATTTTCATAAAATTGCAAGTTTTTTTCTCACAATCACAGATTCTAATTTCCTTCAGTGTGGCCCTAATACTCTTTTGTAATGAAAGGCCAATATGCCATGTTAACATAACATTTCAGAACACTCTTATGCACGTGCTGAAGTGTTGCAATGAAGTCTTCATCTGGGTTTCAAGGTATATTCTGCAACGCGTTACAACACATGTATAAACATGTGTTGATTGAACAAAATGTTGCGCACACCAGTTCCTTTCAAGCTTTCCTAGTATATCCCTGGTTAAACTATGTCGACATAAACAACATTGAGATGGAATTCTGTACATTAGTTTCTGAATGTCATATGTTGCTTTTGTCCTGGCTTGATGGTAAGTGTTAGATAAAAGCAGGTATAGGCTGCTTTAGGTAGAACAAAGCTGCACAGTCACATCATGTCCAGCATAAAAGGTCGACAGATCTTTTTCAAGCAGCCATATGTCTTTCCGTCTCTTTTCTTTCCTTCCTTTCAACAATACATCTGTGTTTGTCTTAACCTGTCTGCTGGGTCAACTTCAGACTAAACACAATGCAAAGTCAGACATGGGGTTTTATACACACATATACATGGACAGTCCTGTTTGATCCCTGTTAAAGTCAATCAAGGTTGTTACATGTTTCCAGTTCACTTCAGCCCCATTAAAATGCCCTATTGGAAATTTACTGGCCTTTCAGTGGCTCAGTGGGGCCCTATAAACACACTCGTGCACCAGTACGTGCATATGTCGACAGACCACTGTTACAACCTGGTGCCAGGAGTTTAATTTAGCTGCCTACGGTGCCAAGATCAGAAGCCTGTTAGGACCCCCTGTCAGCCCCCTGTGTGTGTGTGTGTGTATGATTGCGTGGCTCTCACATTCCTCACTGTGGTGCCATCCCTCTCATCAGACATTTCCCGGCACATAAACTCTCACTGACACATTTGTTTATGAAGCCTAATGGGCCGCTTCTCCACCATGCTGCCATGACTGACTTTCTCTCTCTCTCTGTCTGTGTGTGTCTCTCCATCTGAACAGATGTGGACGAGTGTCTGGACAACAACGGTGGATGCCAGCAAGTGTGTGTCAATACCATGGGGAGCTATGAGTGTCACTGCACAGAGGGCTTCTTCCTCAGTGACAACCAGCATACCTGCATCCACCGCTCTGATGGTAAGACTAGGACACAGAGAGAGAATACAGAGAGAGAGAGAGAGAGAGAGAGAGAGAGAGAGAGAGAGAGAGAGAGAGAGAGAGAGATAGTCTGAGCTGTTTGCTTTCAGGTTCTGAAAATGATGCATTTTAAAGGAGAACATGTAGACTTTTATTTTAGGGCAATATAAAGCAGATTGGCACTTACTGCTCCAATATCTACTGTAACAAAAACTAGGGATTACAAAGTATAAGAAATTACAGTTTTTTTGAAGTAAATGGATCAGTTTGCTAGAATGAGTTGTAAGTGTTGGAAAAAGGTTGGAGTAAATTGACTGTCTTTGACTGGGTGTGACAAATGCAGACTTAAGGTGCAATGCTGCGGTTTATTGTATTGACAATCCTGATTGTAAATATGATCCCATAAGCATGGATGGATTACAAGTCAGTGGGCTCCTGAGCACAGACATGTCCAAGGTACCCTAACCCTCCTACACAGGAGTATGAATCCCAGACTCAAAGAGACACTAACCATTTTGTGTCTTTTTGTGGGTTTGTTTTACATCTCTGTGTGGTTGTTTTATGTCTCATTGTGGTCTTTGTAGTTGGAGAGCTTAGGGGCACTGTGACCTCTTGGGCCCCTGGGCCTGAACCCACTGCATGAGGCATATTGTTGGGTAAGTTTCTTTGTAGACCAAAACCTATTTTACATGTGGCTGGGATGTACAAAAATCCATGAATGGACTGACTGTGGTGACTTTCCTCTAGAGTTATCATGTGTAGGACATTTGTGGTTTGGAATGAACCTATTGCATAGATTGTTATGACTTTAGGTACAGGACATTTACAGTATGATGAATTCTGGTCAAATTAAACATATGATCAGTAGGGCTGCAACCAACGACTATTTTAACAATTGATTAATTTGTCAATTATTTCTATGATTAATCGATTCATCAGATGTATAAAAATGATGAAATTTATTTTCCACAATATCCAAAAACACATACATTCACATAAACAATGTCTTTGCAATGTTTCTGTGTGGTGCATTATTAAACAAAAAATAAATGATTTGTTCAAGAATAGAATGTTTATAAAGTGCACAATAGGTTCTTATAGTGTTAACAAAAACACTAAAATGTTTGATTTAAAATTATTTATACTCATAAAACATACTACACTAATGTAAAGAGCCAGTACACACATGACTACTACTGTTGACAGTTAAAAATAAGTTTGAGTACGCCTCAACAATCCTCAACACATTTACTCTTAACCTATGTACTCTGCACAATCCCCATTAACTTGCATGTGTCACCAATGTTCCTGAACACACCTATATAATCTAGTTTTGCTTATTGCATTTAATATAATGGCTGTTTACATGTGTTTCAATGTTTAAATGAATACAGCACAAACACAAATGCATTTAGCACTCAGGCTACACAAGCCACACTTATTTTCCTAAATCTATAATGAGCATCATAATATACGTTACAAATCAGGTACATAATCATTTTAGTTGCATAAGTTCTTACATTATTAACAAAAATAAAGACCTTACTTAGCTCCAGACTACCCTTCTTCTGTAACGCCATGAATTTTCTTTAGGTGCTAAAGCATTAGCCTCACGCTCCCCTGCCATAACAGATACATTTTCTTTATGACTGCAGTTCAGATGACATGCTAAATACTATCCACCGCTTGCTGTGTTTTTCAAATGTTTTGACACACCTCACTGATGTAGTCACCCAGTCCCTGATCCAGCCATCTCAAACAGCTACATGACATACTTTCTTCTTCATTGGTACAGAATGCAGTCATGGCAGACCATGGAAGTGATACTGCCCCCAGTACTTATTGTACTGCATTACACTTACAAATGAACTTTTACATGGCTTTATAATACAATGCATCAACACAAAAATTCCACATCAGCAAATTTTTATAATCAGCGTTATCGATTATATTGACTAATTGTTGCAGCCGTAATGACCAGATTCATTTAAGACCTAGTAAACATTCCCATCACACTAAGATGTACTTGCCAGTCTACCGTATCATCAGCTATGTCCCATTATCCAACTTGTTCCTCAAATTAGGATTGGTTTAAAACAACATTTTTCATCGTTTGCCTCAGCTTATAAATGGAATAAATGGGGTGAGGCAGTGGTGGCCTAAAGGTTAGAGAAGCGAGCTTGTGACAAGAATGTGGATGGTTCAATATGTTCAGTACTTAGTCTGACAGGATCAAATCTGGGTGTGTCAGGTGACAAAGCCACACTTGCCCTCCCCTCCCCTACATCACTGTGGTGCCCTTGAGCAAGGCTCTTGACCCCCAACCGCTCCAGTGGAGTGTCTTAATTTGACCTTTTGGGCTCCTGCTCATGTTACTCTCACTTGCACTTCAACCACAGTTTGAAGTGGATCTTCTTCTGTTTACATCACTACTTTTTGCTGTCAACTCTGTGCCTCCTAAAAAGCCATTTCGCTTGTGTGTGTCCCTGCATGAGGCTGTCAGAGGGATGTGGGATTTAATGGCGCTCTGATCATGCCTCTAGCTCGGTCAGTTGCCTTTCACAGTGGCACTAATAGACGTTGGGCATGATGTGTGACTTGTGACATGCATGCTTGGGATCCATTTTATGCTTGTTGGAATTCTTAAAATGGTTTGCCCCCATCACCACCATGACCCTAGCATCACTGACCCATTACGCTTGTCACATGTAATTTATGGGCTCAATCTGTGGCACTGAGGAACACTGAAGGAGCAGTGATCCTGAGGTGAGGGGGGCTTGCTTTCTCCTCCTATCCATGCTCACACATACATTTTCTAAGCACAATACTCACATGCATGTAGCTGTGAATGGAGACAGTGTGGCAGTCATACTCAAAAGCAGAGGAGAGAACAGTCATCTTTGCTATGGCACAAAAAGAACATGTTAGAGGAATGTGGTGAGGGGCGAAGACTAAGGGGGAGTAGAGAGAAATTAAATAGAGGAAGAGTGACTTCTGCATCCCCTCCCTCTTCAATCTGGGTTCTCACAGTTTTGGTGTGGTCAGTGCGAAGGCGTGTTAGGAGCCAGTATCAGGATGTTAGAGGATTCTCTGTGGAAACCCTCAGAGAAAGACGTGAAAGAGGTATAGAAATAGAAGTGTGTTTGCCCACTGGAAACCCCATAAACCAGCACATGAATGTCCTTCCCCTTCCTTCCCCTTTCTATTTTTTTTCCTTCAGAGCTATTTCTGAAAGTTTTGCAGTGGCTCACAGTGAGGGAAACAAACAGCCACAGATAGTTAGTCTTACTTTGTATTGTGGATTAGCAAAGTTTGTACCCTATTCTCTCTCTCTATTTCTCTCTCTCTATCTATCTATATATATATAAAATTCCCCACTCATCCCCCACTTTGGGGCGTTCTTGCATCTCTTCCTTCAAGCTCAGGTCCTCTACCAGAGGCCTGGAGCTTGAGGGTCCTGCGCAGTATCTTAGCTGTTCCTAGACAAAGATCTGAGATATAATATAAATGTTCATGTTTCAACAATGAAATTTTTTTTATTTATTTTTTTAATTAAACTATGTATTTATGTAAATCTGTATTTCTTTACAATCACTAGCAAGGCTCTCCAAGTCCTCCATATCTGTCCACCCTCTCCTCCAAGTCTTTCCTAGATGAGAGCAGTTACTGTGTCAACATGTACAACCCCTGCTCCTGTCAGAGGGATGTTCACAGTAAACAAGCAGTGAACATGCTTGTGGTATATTTCTATTCCCTTCTGTTTGGCAGGCTGTCCTGAGCTTTTGGCCACCCGCATACAACCCTACACCCCCTCCATAGATCCTCAGTCAGACACTTGTGTCTTCTCCCCCTACTGTACAGGATTAGCAGCAGCATCCCAGTGCCCCACGGGAATCTCCTTGCACAATTTTTGCCATCTTCCCCATCATAGCTTGCTTCTACCTTCTTTGTTTTGTGTCTTCTTATTCATTCCCTTTATCACATCTGCTCAAAGCTTTTTTTCCTCTTTCTCCTCTCTTTGTGTTTATGTATTTGTTCCCACCTTAGACCAGATCATTCCCTCGCTCACTGCCACATGGCTTTTTAAAGACAGTGTATCAGTCTGACAAGATACAGGCTGGTCAGAACTGCAGGAAGGATGAATGCAGCCAAATACAGAGAGGTCCTTGAAGAAAACCTGAAAACCACCTAAGACTGAGGCCATGATTCACCTTTTAGCATTTTGAGCACATATGCATGATATATTTATCAATGAATATATTATTATCTGGACATTATCTGGTACTATTACTTTTGACAGTTTGTTAATAATACGTATTTACTTTTACTTAAGTAGTATTTAGAATGCTGGACTTTTACTTTTTTTTATTTTTAGATTTTTTGTTTTTGCTTAAGTGAAGATTCTGAGAACTAAACTTCACCCACCACTGTTCAGATCATTTGATTTAGATGAATGTCACTTATTCTCACTTACCTGTCACAGGTTTAGTTGGAAGTGAACCCAAATGGAGACATCAGGTGAACAGGTAAAGGTGAATGTGGATTTAATATTAACAAAGGCTACAAGAACAAAGCATGTGAACATGTTCACAGCAGAAACAACATAACAAAAGCAAGACAAAGAATACAAATGATCCTAGGCAAGAATAATGATATGCATACAAACATAAAGGGCCTAAGCTGGCTAAAAATTATGGGCAAGCGCAAAGAAACCTACAGTTAACGATTCATTGTCTTAACTATTGCAGAAATGTGACAATCAAAAGCTAGAGAGTGTAATTATCTGATTGGTATGAACTAAAGACTAACAAAAGTAAGAAATACTGTACTACTTGAGGATAACGAATAGACTTAGCTACACACTACTTGACTGAACACCAGTGTTTTTGTCAAGTCACCTGAGTCTGAGTTAAGTCTTGAGTCCCCTGTTTGAGCCGGAGTCAAGTTCGAGTCACCAAAGAATAATCAGAGTTGAGTCCCTGTTTTCCAAGTCTGAGTTA